CAGCCGCACTTATTATTTTTCTTGTTTTCTTTTCTTTCCTGTCTTAGAAATCTGTGTAATCGATTAAGTGGAAATTAAGTGGAAAGAAACAGAGATTACAGTATTGTTGTTGTTGTCAGTTTTTCAGTAAGGCGTTGTGCGTGAAAATTTGTTKTGTTAAAATTTAGCTGCTTGCTTGCCTTGCCACACTGCTGCAAGTAATAAATTTTGCTTGCAATAATAAATGATCGAACAACATGCTATAGAGTTTTTAGATTTTGGAAATTAAATGAACGTTCATTTATATGTTTGTACATACACATATATGTATGTATAATTTTAAAATATTTATGTATAAGTATATGGAACAATATTAAGTTTGCAAGCTGCTCCGAATTCATTGTAATTTAGGGAGTGCTTTTTGTGGTGTATTCTTTTCAATGACGGTAAGTTTGAAGAAGGATTTCAACGGGTTAAAGTAATACTTAGTAATATGTGAGTAGTAATTCCAAGTGCGGCATTCAAAAATAAAGAAACTATTATTAATCCCAAATGCAATATTTATTTTTGCAAATAGTTTGTTGACACAAATACTTTGCCTAATAATACTTACACTAATTAAGCTCGCTTCGCCGCTAAGTTAATTATGAAACTATAGAGTGTATAATTAAATAACATATTTYGGCAAATTAACGCAATTAAACGTGCGTGCCGCTTCGGGTCACCCRCGGCGTATGAGTAAACAGGATATTATTTGCTTTTGTGTAAGCAAATTCCCCAGCGACGCGCAAACGCAATTTCAAAAGAATTAATTAACGAATTTCCGCCCATCTTAAGGTTATAATTACGTGCTACTTTTGTGGTCGCAACTATTAAGTCAATGAATGTTGCGCCACCACACACACAAGCGCACACAAAGGCGAAGTATTGTGTTGCAGGCGTAGTGGTGGGCATATGCCTCCTGCAGTTAAATGCCAGTTAATGAAGTGAAAACGTTGCATTTTCAAATATAAATACACAAACAAACAGATATACAGCAATTATAGCTGTAAACTTGCGCCAAATTTAACATCGCTGTGCAAACAAAGCAAACACTTGATGAATTTCAGCTTCCTGCATGCCAAGAAATATGCAAATTTACACAGTATATATCGCGCGGTGTATATATATGTGTATGAAACTAAGTAAATATATATGTATTTGTGATTATGACTGTCTGCGATATATTCGAATAGCACTTCAGGAAGGGTGCTCTGCAATGGTGTGCTTGATTTCTTACATTAAATTTTAACATTTTTTGAAAGTTGCAAAATATTATATAAATACATACATATCTAATGAAATGTATGCATACAGTGAAGTATATCCTTCTTACTTAAAACGCTGGAGTGACTGATGGACTGGTGCATAAGGAGGTGCATTCCGAGGAATCATTTATCAATGCGCAATGTGCTTATCGTAAAGGCTAGTCAGCGTATACTGCTCTGCATACTATTGTGTCACAGCTTGAGAAAGCCATTAGGGTTAAAGAATTCGTTGTTAGGACCTCTCTTGATATTAAGAGAGCTTTCAATAATGTCCTGCCGGAAGCAGTGGTAAACGCTTTAAACGATTTTGGAGTTGAAGCAAACCTTAAACTTCTGACTATCAGTCTTCTATGCGACAGAGTGATWKAAACGGAATAGGGCAACGCAGTGTACTAAGAACTGTGAGTAGAGAAATCCCACATGGTAGAGTTCTCTCTCTTGTTCTACAGATACTGGTCACAGCGACAGCGGTGCTCTGGCTGTATGACTTCATCTTGGAAAAATATCTTGCTTGGCGCCTGAAGAGAGCAAACCACTCTTATGACTTATGGCAATAATATATTATGATATTATGAGCACATATTTTTAATAGCTTTGTAAGAATTTATGTCTAAAAAATAACCGCTTTTGCCGATGTTATTAGGTTTTTATCGATTCTTAACAAGCTATTTTTAATGAGTGAATTATTTATGAAATTTAGTTTGAGTTTCGATTTTTTAATTGTCTTACTTTATTTCAACCTAACCTCGTTTTTAAATCGTATAATATAATTGAAATTTTTTGGGAAAATATTTTTCCATAATTTTATTAACTAAATTTGATATTATTTTTTTTCTTTTTAATTTTAACCGTTTTAATTATTTTCTACCTAACCTTATTTTCAACTTGGACTACGGAGTTATAATTTTTCGAAGAATATTTTTCTATAATCGTATTAATTATTTATGATAATATATAAAAAAAAATCCATTTTTAAAACATTCTCCTCCGAATTTATGAATACAAATAACGGTTTTTATTGATTTTACTAACCGTCTAGCTTAATTTTTTCACTTTAAATTAAGTCAAAATTATATATACGGTACATATATAAATAAAATATTTAGCGAAATTAACACAATCAAACGTTCCAGACTCTTTGGGGCGCCCATGGCGTATGAGTAATCTTAATTTTATAATATAAAAAAGTCTTGCAGTATTTTCGCTGCTTGGCGCTGAGAGCGCGTAGTTCTAGTTTTATTCGTCGCAWCGGGTCATGCTATACCTTTTTGGAAAGCTCATTTCACGCGCTAACACGTCTTTGATTGACTGTCGTTTCTTTTAAGTCGTTCGTGAGTTATAGCGTCGCAAACATGGAGCAAAATAAAGAGAAAATATGGCATATTTTACAGTGCTACTACGATAAAGGCAAAAATGCACCACAAGCCGCCAATAAAGTTTGTGCAGTTTATGGACCCGATACAGTTTCCATTTCCACCGCACAACGATGGTTTCAACCTTTTCGTTCTGGTGTAGATGTGGTCGCAGATGCCCCACGCTCCGGAAGGCCTGTCGTCGAAAATTGCGATAAAATCGCTGAATTGATCGAAAGAGACAGGCATAGCAGCAGCCGTAGCATCGGTCAAGAGCTGGGCATGGTTTTATGTTTTTTTTTTATGAACAATTGAAAGTTCAATAAAAATACCGCAAACATACCGCAAGACTTTGACAACCTATTACTATACAATATTTGCTTTTGCATGTGTAATGCACACAACCAATCGGAAATGCAATTTGAAATAATTTTGTATGTCAAATATTTATCGTATAGAACTAAGTTTTCGTTAAATAAGAATCAATTCCAACCAATCCACCAGTAAAACGCAATAGCACTTAAGGAATACGGCAGACCAACTAAAAAGTTCTTAATGCTTTAAAAAAATAAATTTTTTAAACAAACAAATTTTCATTTCTTCTGTGTAAGGACTATTTCTGCTTTAAAATAATCACTTCTGTCTCGGTGATTACCTTCCTTTCGGCCAGCGAGCATTCTCTAACGTTATTGAAACATAATAACGTATCATTTTTATATACTTCTTTACACTTTACTATAATATAAGATTAATTAAATATTATTAACTATTTTATTTGTTAAATATTTAATGTTTAACACACTTTATCCCATAATACATACATTTTCAGTTATATATAAACACACATTAATCGCCTTATATTTGCTTTCAGGCATTGCTCCGCGGTGCGCTTTCCCAACAAAGTGCCGTTATATTGGTCTGCATGGCCGTCGATCGGTATATGTGTGCACTGCATCCACGAAAATACTATCAGCACTCCAGYAAAAAGGTAAAMATTATATAAATGCTCAATTAATACAACATAATTCAACAAAGAGCATGTTAAAGAGACACTAAATTGGTATTGAGAACTGTACTTCTAAGATATTTCGAAAGACAGAAGACTAATGAGTGTGAACCTTGGAAAGGAAGGTTAATTCCAGCTTCTTTAGAATTAATTTAGATTATAAGAGAATTTCTACTCATCAAACTGTAGCCTTCGATGAATGAAGTAAGCTTGAATGTCGCTCTTTTATAAAAAAAAGAACACCGTGCGTTTCCCATAAAAGCTCATAAATACCCCTTCGGTGAACGGAATTTCATTCGTGCTATCTCAAAGCAATTCCTAATTTCAGGTTAAATATTTGCCTTAAGACTAAAATGAGTACAGAGTATAAAGAAT